TGTCCACGCTGGGATTGTGCCTAATACTGCAAGTCAGCGCCAAGAGGCCCCCCAAGACACCACCCTGCCCGCCCAGCTGCTCCTGCACCAGGGACACCGCCTTCTGCGTGGACTCGAAGGCAGTGCCCAGAAACCTGCCCTCAGAGGTCATCTCCCTGTGAGTCGGGGGAAGGGGCTATGGGGAGGGAGGGTGACCTCAGCCACTCTGCTCTGTGGGAGGATGGGGTGAAACTCAAGTTCCCCTCTTCAGAGCTGGGGCCTTAGGAGGGCTTCAGGTGATCCTCAGGGCTGCAGAGTCGCCCCAGTGAGAATGAAGCATCCGCATCAACATAAAGGAGACCTACTGTGTGCAGGGGGGCTGTTTACATGAGCCCCCGGGTCCCCCCTGAGACGTGACACCCAGGGCAGAGAGGTTTCTTGATGGGAAGGGTGTTGGCAGTGGGGGAGGGCTACCAGAGAAACATCCCAATGCTGTGCCTAGGGGGTGGGGCAGTCACTTGCCACTGGTCTTGCCAGCCATGCTGCACCCAGCCAACCAGCTGTCACGGAAGCCATCTGCCTCGGGTCCCCCAAGGCCCGGCAGGTCCTTAAGAGCAGGGTGTCATTCGCCACCCCCACTCCAGGGCCCCGCCCCTCGGCAGCACTCAGCACACTGTGGGCATTTGGCTGGTGAGGACACTGAGGTCACAGCAGTGTCTCTTGGCTGATGGTGGGGCTAAGCCTCAGGCCCTGGTACTTAGGGAATTTCGGGGGAGGTAGTGGTGAAGGAAGGAGGGGGGTTTGTGACAAGAAGAGGCCCCCCAGGCCCAGGCAAGGAGCCCGGATGAGAGAACTGGAGAGCCCAATGGGGCATCAGTGGAGGGCCCATAGCCCTGCCTGCCTCTCCCTGGCAGTCCAGACATGGCCCCAGCTGTCCCTGCAGACTGTCAGGGCACTGACTGGAGTGTCACCCCCAGGACGCTGGTGAACGCTGCCTTCTCGGAGATCCAGGAGGGAGCATTCGCCCACGTGCCGCTGCTGCAGTTCCTGTATGCACAGGGCCCTGGGGTGGGGTGGGTGGGGTGGGGTGAGAGGAGGGAGGTAGGTCCTCTACAGTATTTGGAAATGAAGGTGAGGGTGGCCTGAACCAGAACGTGGAACCGCCGAGAGCCCAGAGTTCGGGACCAGGGTCCAGGGCAGCCAGCCATTGGGGAAGAGGGGGTACTAGGGATTGCTTCTAGAAGTCAATCAGAGAGCACTGGGGGCCCATTTAGAAGGAAACATGCTTCCCTGGAGACCTCAGGAACTGAGTGAACTGGCTTAGGCTGACACGGGAGAGTGGTCAGGGTGGGTAAGCCCAGGTCAAGATTTGAAGAAAGAAATGAGACCTGAAAGAAAGGCAGGGATGATCAGGAGGGTCTGGAGTTCTAAAAGGCACTGCTTGGGTTTGAACCTGGGTCAGAGGAAAGAGTGCATGTTAGAACCACCTTCTCCCTGCTGGACCAGAGAGGGCTGGGCTTGTGTTGGTAGGGACAGGGAGAGGAGCCGCAGTGAGGAAAGGCCGGCCCCAGACTGGCAGGAAGAATCTGCTGCAGGTACACGCAGGGATTCAGGTTGGCTCCTGCCTGCTCTTGCTGCCCAGAAAGCTTGGGGCTGCCAGCTGAGGTCCAGAGGTGTGGCGGGGAGGGCAGCCAGGGCTCAAGGAAGCGCAGGCAGGGGCGAGGCAATGTGCTGAGCCAAGGGCAGCAGTTGCACCCTGGGAGCTCTAATCCTTCCTTTGTTTCCCCAGGTTACTCAACTCCAACAAGTTCACGCTGATCGGGGACAATGCCTTCACTGGGCTGTCGCACCTGCAGTACCTGTGTGTGGGGAGGGGGGGAGGGGAGGAGGGGTGGTGGTGGTGGTGACCCTGGCCTAGGTGGGCTGAGAGGGGAGGTTGAGCGAAGAGGAGCAGATGGGTGGTGGGAGTGGGAGTGTGATCACGAACCTTAAAGTCATCTCACTAGGAAGTCCTTAGGAAGGACCCTGCCATCCACCTTCTGCCCTGGTCCTGCCCTCGTCTCTCTCACTGCAGCCTCAATGTCTCCAGACCCAGACTGGAAGCCAGTTTCAGGGGCATGGGCTGGAATCCAGGCTAGGGTACAGGGGCAGGGAAAGAGCTTGTTGAGGGGTGAGCCTGTGAGCCTGGGTGGAGGCCGAGCCATGTCCTGCTTTTCTCCAGCTTCATTGAGAACAATGACATCTGGGCACTCTCCAAGTTTACCTTCAGGGGGCTCAAGTCCTTGACACACCTGTGAGTACATCCATCCTGCACGTACGTGCGCGCGCTGTGGACCAAATCCCTCTGTATCCTGTGGCTAGTGGCCTCGGCCCAAGGTGACTCAAGGGTCTCTTACAGCTCGCTGGCCAACAATAACTTGCAGACACTGCCTCGAGACATCTTTCGGCCCCTGGACATCCTGAGTGACTTGTAAGAGCTGCACCCTACCTTTTCTGACAGGACCTCGGAGGGGCATGGAAGGAGTGGTGTGGGAGGTGGAGACCAGGATGCTTAGAGGACACTCATGGAAGAAGTGGTGTGGGAGGTGGAGACCAGGATGCTTAGAGGACACTCGTGGGGTCTTGGGAGGTTGGGAGGACTGGGGCTGTGGCCACAGAGAAGGCTAGGTAAGGTTAGAGGTCAGAGGAGGTTAATCAGGGTGTCTGCGTGTCCCTCGGAGTGCACATTTAGACACGGCCCATGCACGCTTTTGAAGATGTTCATGTGACTGGAATCGGCATTAAAGCCTTATAGCATAGCCACCACCATCGTTGTTTACACAAAGTAAATCCATAAGCCCAGCAGCGTGGAAGCTTGGGAGGACCAGGGATGCAGCAAACAGCTGTGCAGGTTGTCTACTGCAACAGGGCGAGGCGAGGAGGGGCTGAAATAGCCCACATGCTTCTTGCGGGAGATGAGTGCACAGGGATGCCTCCACCCTCGGGGGAACCATTTTCTAGTTGCACAGAAATGCAGGCGGGTATCTGCTCCTGAAAACTTTGAGGGCCTGGGTGGGCAAAGGAGCTGAGAGTCCACCCGTCTCTGTGCCCCTCCCACCGCCCTCATGGCCCAGAGACCTCCGGGGCAACGCATTCAGCTGTGACTGCAAGGTGAAGTGGCTGGTGGAGTGGCTGGCACACACCAACACCACCGTGGCTCCCATCTACTGCACCAGCCCTCCCCGGTTCCAGGAACACAAGGTGCAAGACCTGCCCCTGCGAGAGTTTGACTGCATTACCACTGGTAGGAGTTGCCTCGGCCTCCGGGCATCAGACCCGCTCTTCCCCTGGGCACCCCCTGAACTTCCCTCATCTCCGGTCTCAGTCACATTCACACGAGCACACAGTCACCACATTGCTCTCTCGCCCCTGCAGACTTCGTACTGTACCAGACCCTGTCCTTCCCAGCGGTGTCAGCTGAGCCCTTCCTTTACTCCAGCGACCTCTACCTGGCACTGGCCCAGCCCAGTGCCAGTGCCTGCACCATCCTCAAGTGGGACTATGTGGAGCGACAGCTGCGAGACTATGATAGAATCCCAGGTACCTGGACCAGGCCTGGCCCTGCTGGCTTAGATGGGGTGGGGGCAAGGGGTAGCCATTGTTTGACCAGCATTTATTGAGTTATTAGCCATAGAGGGATGGATGCGCTGCTCCCTGCCCATAAGAACTTCCTGGTGTTTGGGGGATGGAGGGCAGGCAGATCCATTCACTGATAGCATTCATACAATAGTGTGTGCAAGGGTGGAGTCATAAACACCTTGAGAAATCAAGGACCAATGTTCTTGGTGTGGGGTCTGCCTAAGCCAAGTCTTGAAGGAGGGGTCAGAGGTGATGCCCTTTCCCTGGCTTGGGTACTGGGTGGTGCAAATGGAGAGAGGAGAAGGGGGTGCATGTGGCTATTGGAGACAGTTTGGGAGTCACTCATTTTGAGCTGAAGGTCAACGGAGAGATAGCAGGGAGGAAAAAGGCAGGACGGGTGTTCTAGCAGAGGGGCACAGCTCAGTGTGTGTGTGTGTGTGTGTGTGTGTGTGTGTGTGTGTGTGTGTGT